GAGCCGGCTGGAGCCGGGGGTCAGACTAGATGGCCCGGGAGACCCTTTCTGGCTCACTCTGCTTCTATGCCTCTATGTTTCTGAGTTTTTATGACTCCTACTTAGGGCTGCGACTGCTGGAGAATTCAACCTCTGGCAGTTCTCAGTCTTGAAACATGACATGGTTCCAAAGAATTCTGGAAACTCTAGTCTGGAGAAGTTACGTGCTTTCTCTGTTAAATAGCCTTCCACTCCCTTGCAAAGTGTTAAATAGCCTTCCACTCCCTTGCAAAGTGACAGTTACAAGAATCCATCAGGAAAAAGAATGCTGGTTAAACCAGTTTGTACTGTCTTGTTTATTCATTCATTCATTTAAAACTTTTTTAGACAGTCCCTTACTGTAGTCTTGGGACAGTTTAACAGTAAGACAGAAATAAAAATAAAATAAAACACAGTATCCTATGTCGATGTCAATATCCCAGAGTAGGAAAGAATCCTAAAGAAATCTAGATTACCCTGACTGGCAGGGGCTTCTTCACATTGGCCTCCTATAGCTTCGCGGGTTGTGCAGAAGAGGGGGCTTTGGCAGGTGCAGACACCGCCACTCACCCACATTTCCTCTTACCTGCAACTTCTATTAGCTCAGTAATTTGCATGAGAAAACAAACAGATTTTGGCCCATTTTATTTTCCAACCTTCCCCCAGCAGCTCGGGGGAGCATGTCTGTTTCTCCTATTTTATCCTCCCAACAACCCTCCACAGTAGATCAGGCTGAGGGAGAATGACTGGGCCAAAATCAGCCAGTGAACCTCATGACCAAGTGGGAATTTGAACCTGTCTCTCCAGTCCTGGTCCAACGCTCTGACCACTGTACTGCACTGGCTTCCCAGCCTTGCATCATGCTGGCCCATGCTGGGCACGGCATGGCAATCCAGGGGTTCTGCTGAAGTCCCAATTCAGTCCAAAAGCCCCCCAAATGTTCTTGGGCCAAGCACGGACATGCGCAGTGTTCCAACTCTGACTGCTAAGTGTGCTGCACACACCCAGCTCCCACCCCAAGGGTGGCTTCCTCGTGGCTACTTCTTGTAGGGTTTCACAGCCCCCCTGGTGCCAAACATGGTCATCCAAACTTAGTCAACACAACAAGGTCAGGGGCATCCCTGAAAACTACATTCTCTGTGTAGTTTTCATCACAGTATGGCTTATTCTGTTGTGTAAACCCAGCCACTATCTCTCAATCTAGCCTACCTTACCAGGTTGCTGTAATGAGAAAAGACCTCGGAACACTGTCCTGGGTTCATCAGACAAGGCACAGGATGAAAGAAAGGAAAAAGGAGTCACTCATTTCTAAGCTGTAATTATCTGCTGGAGCCTAGAAGAAATCACAACAGACTTCTTTTCTGTCTGTCTTAAGGGCCCTCGTATTAGTTTTCCTCTTGGTTACACATGAAGAAAAACGGACAAAGGATGTTGCTGAACATCAAGAACACCTCCAGAAAGTGTGTTAGGAAATAACGAACAAAGCCTTTGGGAAATCTTTTACAGAGGCTGCGATTATTTATTTATATTTAAAACACAGTTTATTGAGTAGCCAACTATTTTGCCTGTGGGTTTGGTTTGCATTTACATGGGCACAAAGCAAAATATCTGCTGCAGAAATTCAACGGAGTGCACTTTGGCCAAGTAGATCCATGGGAAAGAGAGGTTTCTACCCACAAATATCCCATTTTTGTTTGTGATTAGTCACACATTCAGTACTGCCGGAGCCAGTCCCCAGTCCCCTGTTTCCATTGCAGGGAGGGAAGCAGACAGCAGACTGTATAAAGAAAGGGGCCGAGTGCTAAGTGTCCACAGGAAGGAAGAATGTGCTTCTAGTGGAGAAGAGGGTCTTTTTCTTACCCACAGTAAGTACTTCCAGAACAACTACTCTGAGCATTGCCTTTGTTCTAAAAAGCCATTCCAATGCATGCTCTTCATGCAGAGTAAACAATTAGCAAGGGCACCAGTATTTAATGGTGGGATTTGCTCCCTAAAAGAATTCCCAGGATTTTCCTGGACAGGACATTTTGAAGGACTTTCAGTCCTGGTGTTGCCATTAAATCAGAGATTAATATTTAATCATTAATTAATGTGAGGGTACATTAGGCACCCAGTCTTGGTTTTATTATCATTACCACCACCACCACCATTGCCTGTGTATATTGTTGTCTGTGTGTCCCTGTGTAGAATTGCAGCATTATCTGGGGGGAGGAAATTGTGTAATTCAAACACAAACAATCCAAGCTAATGGGCACCCAGCTGAAAGAAGGGCTCCAACAGTTGAAGTCATATTCTGGATTTTCTTCTAATATCCAAACACAGAACTCTTCAAGTGCTCCAAATGAGCACTAAATCAAATAATGGTTTTCAAATCCATACAGGAAGTTGCTGATTCCCCCCCCCCCCCCCACCCAAGTGCCCCAATGACAGTGCATGCTGATTTCTAGTGGAGGTCAAGGTTTTCAACTTTCCTGTCTAAGCAATTCTCCTCCCTTTCCCACTTCTGGATATACTTTAAAAGATAACACACCCCAATCTGACATGAGACATCGCCCTGCCAACAAAAGTGCGTACAGTCAAGGCTATGGTTTTCCCAGTTGCAATGTATGGCTGTGAAAGCTGGACCAGAAGGAAGGCTGAGCGCCGAAGGATTGAGGCCTTTGAATTGTGGTGCTGGAGGAGACTCCTGCGAGTCCCTTGGACCGCAAGACAATCAAACTGGTTAGTCTTAGAGGAGATCAACCCTGACTGCTCTTTAGAAAGCCAGATCCTAAAGATGAAACTCAAATACTTTGGCCACCTGATGAGAAGGAAGGACTCCCTGGAGAAGAGCCTAATGCTGGGAACAATAGATGGCAAAAGAAGAAGGGGACGGCAGAGGATGAGGTGGCTGGATGAAGTCACTGAAGCAGTTGGTGTGAGCTTGAGTGGACTCCGGGAAATGGTGGACAGGAAGGCCTGGAGGAACGTTGTCCATGGGGTCGCGATGGGTCAGGCACGACTTTGCGAGTAAACAATCTGACCCACTTGGTGTGGCAGCCCTCACACCCCTGGATATTCCTGCGGAAATCCAGTGTCCCATCATGGTCTAAACTTTCTCCTGTCTTGTCTTCAGACTAAGGAATTTGAGGTGCCTCCTCAAAGAACTTCACCTGAACCCCACTCTCCTGGCCTTTAGAAAGGGTATAAACAAACATGATTTCAATGTAGCCTTTTAAAATGTTTTTCCAATGCATTAATACTTCTACTGTTCCAAACGTGTTGTTTTTATTGTTGCAAGGTTTTGTTTGAAATCCCTCTACACCTTCTGGAAGGCTTTTTAATAGGCAGGGAAGTATAATGACATTTCCTCTTCAACATCATCATGCATAATTTTTCAATTCTGTGCGGTGTGCTGCTCTGGAAAATGCTCGGATGTGAAACGGTGTACAAATATTGTAAATGAATAATGCAGTGTGTGGGGGTTGTTCTTGTGTGTGGGTTGATTTTCCAGAGGAAACTTCAGCGTTTTGTCAAGCTAATTGCAGCCAACATGCATTGGAGGAGAGCCCAGATGGTGGAGTGGGCATCCAAATCAGGGTGTGCCATCCGCGCCCTTTCTTTAGGACCATGGCGACACTCCCCCATGGACCCACCAGCATCTGGCAGTTGACTGGTTGAGGCTGTCCTTCAAAGATGCTTGAAGGATGTTCTAATAATATTTGAGTCAATTTTCTAAAAGCAAACACAGCTTCCTGCCAATGTGGTAAAGTCTGGGCATAAGTGAACACTTGGAGAAAGTGAACGGATGGCTTATACTCTGTTTTATGTTGTAATGGCACTTTGCCCAATCGATTATGAGCTGATATTTAATATGGGCTAAGTTAGGAAAAGCCATATTGCTCTTCAGCTCTCACTGCTAATACATTTGCTCCACCCAAATGTATTTTTCTTGAACCTAAACACCTCTCCGTGGGAAGACAAATAGGTCGAAATGGCTCAGGAGATCCAGTTCTAGTCTCCACTTGGCCAAGTTCCCTGGGTGACTTTGGGCCAGTCATAGACACTCAGCTGAGCCTATCCCACAGGAATCTTGTGAGGCAAAAAATGGAGAGCAGAAGGGTAGGACTAGCTGACCCTGGGTTCCTCAGATGAGCAAGTAAGGTGATATATACATTCAATGCAATAATAACAATAGTAATTTGCAGGGAACTGTTGATTACTTTGGAGCAGAGTCAGACACAGGGGCATCAAACCCAGCCCTCTGGGGAATCCCACAACCGCACCCCCTTCCCCTGGTACCATCCCCTGCCCCACAACCACCAAGGACTCTGTGGCTTTCCTAGCTTTTATACAGGTTCCCCAACACTGAAAACAGTTGGAATATCTTCCTAGGGCTTAGTTACTGGGAGTAAATGCTTTAAGCTCAAATATCTGGGGACTGGAAACTAAGCCCTCTGAGGAGGGGTTGAAAGAATTGGGCATGTTTAGCCTCGAGAAGAGAAGATGGAGGGGAGATATGATAGCAACTGTACAAGTACCTGGAAGGCTGTCACAAAGAGGAAGGTCAAGATCTCTTCTCTACTATTCCAGAGTGCAGGACACGGAATAATGGACTTAAGTTACAGGAAGCCAGATTCCAGCTAGATATCAGGGAATTTTTCCTGATGGTTGTAGAGTACGACAATGGAACCCATGACCTAGGGAGGTGGCAGGCTCTGCTATACTAGAGGCATTCAAGAGGCAACTGGGCAGCCATCGGAGAGCGATACTTTAACCAGGAGTCCTGCACCGAGCATTCAATGGATTCAATGACCCTCTGGCCCTTTCCAACTCTACCATCATTCCATGAGTCTATGCTGGCATTTTGCGCTCTGCAATTTTTTTTTGACCTTGCCCACTGCTAGCATGCAGACCCCCAAGAGCTCCTCCAAAAATTAATTTGGCCTTCAGGCTGAAAGCTGATAGGCGCTCCTGCTTTAGGGAAGGTAAAACGCACATACCTTTTTGCTTATTTAAAAATGGCAGAGGTGAAGAGAGCCAGGGACCCATCCCTGAGCCCTTGGATGGAGCTGGCTTTGCCGTAGCACTCGCTGCCGCCTCGGCCGGCTTCTTCTGAGCTACTCTGTCCTTCCTCTCTTCAGCACTGGCTGCCGCAGAAGAGGATCCCGGGCCAGAGCTGACCTTCGGCGCGGCAAAAGAACACTTCAAGTAGGAAGCCGAGTCTGCTAAGTTTTCTCTGTTCATCCTGCTCTCCTTGGAGCTGCCTGTGTTGTAGTTCAAAGCCCCGCTGCTCTCATTCCTGGAGTGGTTTTCCTCCTGGATGATGTCCATGATGATCGGCTTCATCAAGGGAGAGTCATGCTCCCTCTTGGGGCTCTCCTCGGAGGCCGAGGAAGCATCACAGGACTCGATGATGAGTTCACTGTCCAGCTCAGCCTCGCGTTCTTCTCTCAGAATGCTGTACTGTATCGATGGGGAGGCCGGGGAAGGAGGAGGGCCCCCCGCATGGCTGAAGGTCATGTAGTTGGAGTGCAGAACCTCTTCCGCAGCGAGAGGGTCTTCCGAGACGAGCTCTATCTCGGAATCTCCAGATTCAGCACTGCTCGCTTCGTTATCTAAGGGAGGACCGCCAGCTGGAAGCTCCGACACCCTTTTGGGATCTCGTTTTCCTGCTGCAGGGGGTGCCGGTTGCTGGGCTTCAGGATGCTCAAGGGGAAAGCCCTTTGCTTCTTTAATGGCACTAACGAGCTCTTCTTCAGACAGGCTTCCTTTACCTTGGGATTCTGAGCCAGACGGTTCTGGAATTCCAAGGGAGATTCCCCAGGGGAAAAAATAGAAAGAAAGAAAGAGAGAAGTAGGAGAAGATAAGTGAATACAAGAAAAGATATCGCTAATGGGGGAAAAGACAGGGGAAAACATTTCAGTTAGCAAAAATAAAATGCAGTCCTTTAGAGTGCAAACCTATGCAAGTTTACACTGAAAAAGGCCAGTTGGGAATTGTAGTTGTTTCCAGTATAAATTTGAATGATTTAAATCTTTCTAGTAAAATGTGCATTCGGAAGACTCATGCATTTCACTCCACTGAAGCAGCTGGGCTGCATCGCCAACCTTTCCCAGATGAACAAACCTTTAGTCATTTAGAGCTTGTGCATAAGAACAAGTAGAAAAAGTGAAAGTCCCATCCTGAGGCCATCCTATGATGCTGAATGGCGGGAAGTCCAAGACAGGTAAAAGGAAGCTCAGGGAACTGGCTGGCCAGTATATGAATGGAATGGTTGACCGGGCCTTCGGCCTAATTCTGCAAGCTTCTTCTCACATTCACATTCTTAAAAGCATCCAGCTCATCTTAACAACCACAACAACTGAAGACTCCTTGTCATGGTTAAGTTTAGCAAAGATTTGAGAACGCAGAAGATGCTTCAGAAAGGCTGATGGGCCTATAATATAAAACACCTACGGAATGCGTGTTCTGTGACTGGGTCAGGGAAGTACCAGTTTGCTACTGGGCAGAGAACTCCCGTTTATGAGAAGAAGAAGAAATCCAATGTTCAAGTTTTAGGGATATGCACTGTGGTAAAGCACTCTGATATAGCTCTCTGCTTCAGCTATAGAACTGAACGTAACAATATCAGAATAATCTGAGGACTGGATTCAGAGGCTGCATGACACACTCTGAGTTGCCGTGAACTTTCTGGATGACCTCGTGCAGCTTTGGTATCTCTCAGTTCCCTGGCTGCAAAATGAGTTAACGGCCTACCTCACCGTGTTGTTGTGAGAAAGAATCACCCCATTTCAGGAGACTGAACGTCAGAGGCTTTTGGTAAAATCCTATATCAGTTGGCCAGCATCTAGACAGGTTTTTCAGACACCCAGCTGTGAGACTACGTTTCTGAGTTTGGCATGCCTTCCCCATAATTCATGGTCCGTGTGGGAAGAAACACATTGGCTGCTTCTCTGAAGCTCCAAGTGCAACCTCGGAAAAGGGTTGTGTGGGTATTTCATGGGTGGGGAAGGAAAATGACAAGCACATCCCAGTACGAGGTATTCTGGTGGCACCTCAGCCTCCTTTCTTCTCACTCTGAGCTGCCTCTGAGTGAATCATACTGAATCACAGTGCTGGAAGGGGCCTAGATGGCCACCAAGTCCAACCTCTCGCTCAGTGCAGGCCTCAAGCCTCCCATCCAAAAAGTAACCAGGCCTGAGCTGCTTAGCTTCCAAGATTCAGGCTACATGGAAGGCATCTGTGTGTTTTTCAGGGCAGGATGCCCCTAATCCTCAAATTGAGAGGGTTCCTCGTACAGGCATCCAAATTCGCTTGTGCCCTTCAGTAGTTTTTGCTCATCTTCCTGACTATGAGGGTCTGAACAGATTGTGCAAAACAGTCAACTAAATGGACATTTCCTACATTTCCATAACTTCAGAAGATTATTCTTTTTAAAAATGTGTGTGCAGGTAAGTAGGGATACACACACACACACACATGCTCACAGATATTAACATGATACCTTAATGGGTCTAGTTCTTCTTGCCCATGAAAGTAGGATGAAAAACAGAGTGTCTCTGACCCTGTCCAGAGTGCATTCCGATCCCCTGTGAGCCATCACATTCACAGTACTTACATGTGCTTAGTTTATGATTTTTAGGAGTTAAACAGACTCCTTTCCAAATATGAGATGGATTGAGTCCCAGCGTTTCATTTACAAGAGATGAGCAGGAGCTTTTGGTGGAGTTTCACTGGCAGGTTTGTCCTAACCGGAGACATAAGTCTTCAAAGACGCTCCAGGGAATTCAACTGGTCCAAATTGGACCTCGCAGTTGGTGGAACACATTAACATGCAGGCCCATAGAACATCAGTTGTGTGTAAATTGCACAGGTTGCCAGTTGTAGCCTGGGCCTGATTTAAAGTGCTTGTTTTGACATATAAAGCCCTAAATGGCTTAGGATTTGGCTAGCTGAAGGACCATTTAATCCCATATATACCTACCCACTCATTAAGATCTGGGCAGGAGGTCCTTCTAAAAGAACCATCCTTTAAAGAGAAAAAGGAGACATTAAATAAAAGAACAGCCTTCTTGGTGTCTGCCCATCAACTCTGAAACAGGCTCCCCAGAGAAATTCACCTGGCACCAACCTTGTTTTCTCTGAATATTTTCAGAGTAATTATCTGAAATATTCTCTGAATATTTTCAAAGATAGTCTTAAATTTGTTATTGCCTACTGGTATAACTGGTGTGTGTGTGTGTGTGTGTGTGTGTGTGTGTAAAGGTTTTTGTATACTGCCCAACTACTTCTGTCTCAGAATGGTCACTATAGTGATTTTAATTGGTTTCATGGTTTAGTATTTTACTGTAAGCTGCCTAGAGAATCCATCAAGGTTAATGGGTGGGATACAATTCAAAAACATAAATAAGTAACAACAGCAAGTGGACCCCATTAGAGTAACTTATCTGCAAACTGCCAATCTGGCCCTGAGAATTAAATAATCCTCATCATGCAAGCAATTCTTACCAGTTCCTGAAGAAGGTGGCGTGTCAGAGCCCGGACTCTCGTCTTCTGGCTCGGACACGGTCACTGTAGGGACCACTTCGTGGCTTGGCTTGAGACCTGCCTCTGGTCTTTCTGGAGTCTTCTCCTTTGCAGCAAAGCCCTCTACGTTTTCCACCTCAGTCAGTGTAATCTTGACAGGTGCCGTTACAGAGGGGCGGTCCCCAAATGTTTCTGACGGAAACAGGGACCCCTCACACGGATCTTGAGCCACGTGCTTTCCTTCCAAAGCTGTCCCGCGAGGTCCAGTCGCATCTTCCTGGCACGTGCGAGTCAAGCTCGGAGGACCCACGTCGCCCAAGCCCGTGTCGCACCTCTCTTGGCATTTGATCTCTTCCGATCGACTCATGTCCATGTATTTATACGCTTCCGATTTCATCTGCTCCATGGGATCGGCAAACGTTTTGTGGACGTCGGTGGATTCTGCCGGGGTCATCTCTATTCCCGAGTCGGAGCTAAACAAGCCACACGGCTCAAAGGCTGTCCCATCCTGGGTGTGAAATGTTTCGGGGCTGCCTGAACTAGCCGCTCGGCCATCCCCTTTGGGCAGATTTCCAGTGAAGTAAGAGGAATCCTGAGGAAATGAGCAGAGGTCGTCGGAAATCAGCGAAGTGTAAAAGGAGCCGTTGCCCCTGTCTGGGGTCTTGGAGGAACTGTATTCATAACGGTGAGAGGCTTCCATGCCTCCTAAAACAAATACAAAACATAAAAATGAGTGCAGGGGAAGCACTGCCCTTCGGTGAACAATTTTTCCATACCATCTTTAAAACGACAGTGAGCCATCCAGCACATCGCAAAAACTCTGTTACTGTTAAAGTCAGTTACTGGTGCATTTGGAACAGCTGTTTAAATCATTGTCAGTTGTTATTATACACTCTTTTGTTTATTGTTTATTACTGTACGTGCCTGTTGCAATTACTGTACATGCCTGTTGCAATTTACAGTTGGATAGGGCACGGGTTTTCAACCACTGGTCCACGGATCGGCGCCGATCCGCAGGAGATTTCTTGCCAGTCCACACAAAAAAGCCCTCAGGAGCTGCAGAGGGGAGGCATCTAAGAGCGGCCACTTGTGCTTAGCCCGCTCAGGGCCACTGCTGTCGCTGGGGACCTGATTCACACCAGCAATTCCCCTCCTCCTGCTACGATCTGCTCAGTTCCCCTCCCTGGTGACGGCAGCAGCCCTAAGCGAGCGGGAAGAGCAGGCTCAGTTGCGGCCCTGATAGGCAGCTCTGAGAATGCCGCCCCACCACGCCCTCAGTGCGCCATGCACGCGGCCCCAAGCTGCCCGGTTCTGGTCTTGCGGCGCCTGATCAGGCGAGTGATTCGGCATCTTCCAGGCGTTCCTGCTGATCAGAGCACCTTGTCTGGCAGTGCAAGCGCTGCGCCAGGCAGCGTGGGGCTGCTTGCACGGCACCCTGAGGGGGCGGGGGCGGCATCAGCATCCTCAGCGCTGCACGGAAGGCCAGCAACTTGCGCTCAGCCTGCGCTTCCGGCTCGCCCAGCGCTGCAGCCGTCACTGGGGAACCCAGCGGATCCCAGCAGGAGGAGGGGAAGCGCTCTGATGTCACTCCTGCGTCCAGGCATGAAATGCAATCAATGTCACAATTCTGGATATCCCTGGAAAAGAATTTCCATCTCTAAGTTACGAAATTGTTACTCGGTATTTTCGACCACATATTTGTGTGCAGAGAGTCTTTCAGCTCCATCACAGATGAAAACCAAACAGAGAAACAGAATGGATGTCAGTGCTGCACCTCTCGGAAACAACACTGCAGTGATAACGCTCAGGCGCTGTGGTACCTCGGCTCACGAGCTTAATCCGTTCCAGGACTCTGGTCGTGACCCAAAATGGCCGTGAGCCAAGTTAAATTTCCCCATAAGGTTCAGTGTAAATAAGGTTAATCCGTCCTGTAACTATTTTTTTAATCGGAAAAATGTGAAGCAAAGTGACAAAGAACGACAAAGATAGCAGCCATTTCCCCTCCCCGCAACCCTGAGCATGAGCGCGGCCATCTCCGTGCACCCCTCACCCCTGCATGCGTCCCTCATCCCGGCGCGCTTGGGGGGGAGGGATGGCCCGATCGCGGGCGTGCTGTGGGAGGGAGAGACGGGCGCGAACACGGGTGCACCGGGGTGGGGGAGACGGGCGCAATCATGCTGAGCGGGGAGAGATGGCCGAGATCGCGGTTGCGCTCCTGCAGGAAAGATGGACGTGATCTCGGCCATCTTCCCCCCACTCCCAGCACAATTGCGGTCATCTCCCCACTCAGGGGGGTGGGGAGACGGCCACAATCATGGTCGCCACCCAATGCGGAGCTCGTGACCTGAGCTAAAATTTTTATGAAATTTTTGTTTGCGACCCGATTTGGTTGTGAACTGAAGCGTTCGTGAGCCAAGGTACCACTGTATTCCTGAAAAGAAACATGGAAACAGAGTGAGCCAGAAAGGGTCTCCTGGGCCATCTAGTCTGACCCCCGGCTCCAGCAAGCTCCACTCATGACATGCCTACCATGTGCATGTCCAGCCTATCCTTAAACACAGCAGATTCCACATTAGCCTTATTTGGATTAAATATTGCTCTCTAAAAATTCCAGTTGTATTTGATTACATTACTTTCTATAATTTATTCTTTTATTATCATTTTTTACTGCTCAGTTTCTGGTCATTCTAGAGAATTATCAGTTTTGGCATTATATTTAAAAACTAATGCACAAAATATTATATTATGCATATAATGCTTTTTATTTTTTCCTCAGTGGTCCCTGAATTTTTTTCCCTATTTTTGCCGGTCCCCAGCTGCAAAAAGTATAGTATGCCTGTTTTTAAATTGAATGATGATTTGCATATTGTTTGTAAGTTTTTTGTACACCATTCTGGAAGTGCCGTGCTAATGAACAGTATTTACATACCTTAAGTAATATAAATAATAAGTTTTTAAAATTCCAAGTGGGGCACACTACCCAGGTTGTTTCCTGTGACCTGCACGCAAGGAACTGGGGCTGTTTGGTTTTTGTGCAGTTATTTTCTCTGGCTTGCCAGGGGAGAGACAAGCCTGAATTCTCAGTTCACACGGCGTGACAAACAACCCAGAGAACAGATCATCTCGGAGTGGTTTAACTTCTGCTCTCAGCAAGAATAACTAACTGGACAGCATAGTCACAACAAACCAGGGTCTTAAAAAATTCTGGGTTATTGCAACATGCAAATTGGGCCCACTGAGTATAATGTAATTATATTCTGTCAAGGGAAACAGACATTTCTCTTACAGCAGCTCTTACAATCCTAAACAACAAACATTCACATATACCCCAAGGTCAGACCACGTATTTTAAAACTTGGCTTAACTTTCACCCCAGTTTTTTTCACCTCTAAAAAGAATGTGGGAAAAATTCCAGGGAAATTTCAGGAGAGGGATGTTGGCATTTATTTATTATTTATTTATTTTAAAAAATTGTAGGCCGTTCATTACTGTCGTCTCTGGACGGCTTCCAACATTATTTCAATCTTCAATAAAATAAGTTAACTGTTCCACACTAAGCATTATTTAAAATAAATTACATAAGTCTTACACAATTAAAATTGCTATATGTTAAAATATTGGCCAAATAAAATAATTTACTTTAGTTTTAAACCCGGTGAATGAATGGAAGGGTCTTCTCCCTTCAAGGCAACTTTGAACTACCTTGAATTTTCCAGAATTCTCATAGAACTGATGCTATTTCATGCCATTGCTATGAGCATTCTAGACTAGGAAATGCTCAAAGGGAAGCTTACAGATGGCTTCAGGATGGCTTTAATGACCATGAAACTTTAAAAAAATGTTAAAAACAATGTACCCATCCCTGAGCAACTTGGTCAAAAGAAAGGCTTGCTGCCATATCACTTTCCCAGAAACATCTTGGAAATTTCTTGCTCCCAGAAAACAGTAGAAACCTTTCCTGTGCAGGGAACTAATGGTTTTAGAACGGAGTGTTGGAAGTAGTCCTGTTGGATTCTGCTACCATCTTCTGCATCCATCCACTGCCATAGAAATGTTATAATAACAACAACAACAACAACAACAACAACATCTCCTTCCTTCTCTCATCCCTTTCACACAGAATCAAGGGCTGGAATGGCTAAATCTGTCAGTTACAGTTCTATGGAGTTTCCTACTTGTCTTGGTTTCAGCCCGGTTCCACATCCATGTACAATATCTTTGCACCAAGATTCATGCATTCTCGCATGCACATCTCCTAAAATATGTAATTTTGTGTGCACATTTTGCCATGCATGCCTGCCTATCTGGAAGCTATTTTCCCTATTTCAGTTTGTTTCTGAGCATAATGTTCATTACCTTGGACATTTTTGTGCATGTTTTCTCTAATCATGAATTAGAAATCTTGTTTATGTTGTGATTTTACTGAATGTTTTAATTGTATTTTGTATTACTATTTTTAACCTTTTGTAAGCTGTCCTGAGGCTTGTTGCAAAGGACAGGATAGAAATGTTCCAAATAAATAAATAAAGTATGCATATATTTTAATGAATATTTCATACGCATTCCAATCATTCAAAATATTGATTTTAATGACTATGTATGCCATATTCAATATAAAACTGCATTCTGGCTCATTTATTCTTTCAGGAGATTCAGAAGAGCTGGTGACTTCACAGAAAGAATTCACAGACCCATCTGTGATAACGAGTACGACATTATTTGATGTTCTCAAATAGCAATCTGTACTCTCAGGAGTCTGGGGCGAAAACTTGTTTACTTCTTCAAAGGACTGCGCTTGAGGCCCTCCTGTTTCCTCCAATACATCTCCGGGTTTCAGTCGCTGAGGATGGTACTGGGCGAATCCTGCCACGGACAGAAAGATCTCCTTTGATGATCCCATTCAAGACAATAGCAGAGCTGTTGTGAAGGAGCTGGCGGAACCGAGGCACACGGAAACAGAGCTGGTGCCCGCTGCTGAATACAGCCAATTAACCTCTTGTGTGGTCCCCTGATGCGCCTAATGGCCGATAGATGCCCAGGGGGCCCAGAGGAGAAAGGGGGCTGCAGACAGCTGCTTAGCCTCCTTAGTCACACAAGCCTTCAAGCAGCAAGGTTTCATCAACAGCAAGGTTTCCTTGTGCTGTCTATCCAAATCTCACAGGTGCGAAAATTTGTCACCTTAACTGTACGGATGGATAATTGGGCTTTGTCTGTGGGAGGGATTATAGCTATATCTTATTATTGTTGATATGATTCATTGTATTATGTATTATATTGGGTTATGTATTGACATTATGTATTGCATTATGTATGATATTATTGTATTAAGGTTTTTTTTTAAATTACAAACATTTGTATCCCGTCCTTCCATACAAGCGCTCAGGATGGCTTACATTTTGATTTTGTATCGCTTACAGTTAAATATCGTATTGCTTGATTGTATTGCTCTAACGTATTATTGTATTTGTATGGAATATGTGTTTTTCTGTTTTATTGTAAGCCTCTGGAGAGCCCTGTGTGCTATAGGGTAGCATATAAATGTAATAAATAAAATGAAAATGAAGCAAAGAGGAGGTAGTGGAATTCTCATTGCTTCCTCTGGTTCCCCGCTGAGGCTCCACAGGTTTGGCACTCCCTCCCTGACCACTGGCTGCGGTGGTTTAAAAGGGAACTGATGTATTCTGGGGAACGGGTCCGTCA